ATAAATTGCAGTAGAGGGAAGAGAAACATTTATTCTAGATCCAAATAAAAGAGCACTGGAAGGTAAAACAAAACAAAGGAGTGATTAGAAATACAGGCCTGGCCTCTCAGAATTTATCCTGTGGAATGCCGTTCAACAAAGAAAGGAAACCTGAGCTTAACAGCTTTGTCTCAGATGATTTAAGAGTTTCTCATAACATTTTTATCTGATCCTTCTATGTGACGGTGACATCTAAAATCATCCCATTTAACCTTTTCTTTTGCATGTTGTGTACCTTGTGAGCAGAATAAGAAACAGGACATTCCTCGGGAAGATCAGGGACCCACCACCAAGAATTTGGATTTTTGGCCCCAACTGATTACATTGATGGTCACCATCATTGATGAGGATAAAACCGCCTACACACCCGTGCTAAATCAGTAAGTATTCTGTTTTTAGAAATTAATGGGTTTCATTCCACTAAAGTTAAAAAAATGTACATTTTATGCACAGCCTGTATTATGATGCCAGTAAAAAACTTTTCTAAAATTAAGTTTCAGAAAACAGTATTTTTCTATTTTTATCAGTAAATATCAATTCAGCAATACTATGAATTTTTCAGTTTCAACCATGTCGAGTATGGTTGTTTGGACATGGAGACATATTTCTCAAGACTTTATTTTTATTTCATCTAGAAAAGTTCCCTCTTTCCTGTGGTTCTTTTCATAACCATTCCATTATTTCCAAAGATAAAAAGTACTCTGCTCCCCCAAATAAAAAAAATGTTATAGAGCTAGTATTAAACATATTCCACTGTGGCTTTTAATAATAAAGACCTTGGCCAAAAAAATGCCTCCAAAGTAGTTGTGCATGTTGGATTTTTAATCAAGTTAATGCAATATTTAGTAGAACAAGTCCACTTTTGCAACCTATGACCTGAAGTTCTATTCCTCAAGAAAGGGTAGATAGGTTAAATTCATGACTATTCTAGAAGTTTAAAATAATCATCTTCTCAAAATGCCACTATCTATGAGACCTTTGGCAAATTGTCTAATTTTCCTGGGTCTTGGTTTTCTTCTATGTGAAATAAAGACATACTACTAGATAATTTCCAAGATCCAATTTCATTTAATGTTACACATATTGAGGGTGAAAAGTAACAGACTACAAACCAGGAACTTAACAATTATGTTAACTGGAGTAGTTAGTTGGTAAGACATGAAATGATGTGGGCAGTTAGGACAGCAGAAGCAAGCAAACTATGAAGTAGAATAATGAAGTAGCTCAACAGAGAACCAGTTTTATAGAGTTAAAATTTTTGATGGATTAAATTAAAATTCCAATTGCAGAAGGAATAAAGTATCCCAATTTTCACCCTTTCTACCTCTCAATCATCCATTGTCTCCTGCCTCAGTTTCCTCCTAATTGTGGAGGATATGTCCTATCTTCTATCTGCAACCACTACAGCTTCCCATTTATCTTTTCACTTTTTTCCCCGATTTTCTCCAGACCTAATCCTTGTACCCATGTTTGCTTCCTGCTAGTCACAATGTCTCCTGATCACCACCTGTAGAAACCTCACTGTTTTATTCTCCTTTGTTAGGACTAGGTGACCTCTCTTAATTCAAGGCATGTCCTTTTCACATCATGGGTCCTGGGAAGTATTTTGTCTACTTGATATCTGCCAGTTTCTTGGAATAGATTTACTTTTTCATTCATTCTTTGGATCATTCTTGAGGACAGAGTAACTGGTTTTTCTAAAGATTGGGAGACCAATAATGTAAAAACAAACATTTT